TCATGATTTCTGTGTTTCAGATCAAGTTAATTCATTTTTATGATAGCTCTCCCTTCAGAGTCTTGGAGTTTCACAGACAGTTTTGTGACTATTTACATAATTATCTAACTGGACCACTCTTTGTCATCCATCATACTTTTTCCCCCTCAGGACCCTGTGATTTTCTCTGCAATCTTTTGAAGTTCAACCCACAATTTCTGGGGTGTAGGTATTGGTTTGATTAACTTCAAAGAGACGCACCACTGACTATCACATCAGCCTGTCAGTTGGCCTCCAGCAGACATTATGATTGTGAAAGGAACTGAGTGATTGTACCATAGGTATCTTTTTCTGAGCAATGGCGAAATAATTAAAGATGAAGGTTAAACAATGTCATTTAAAAATGTGTTGCACTGCTAACTTATAGTATCTGCTGTAGCTTTAAATGGAGTGGCAGAGAAATTAGGAAGAAATTCAAGCCATTTTCAGTGTATGCAGTACCTCCATTATACACTATTTAACTATTCCTGGGTCAGTGTTGGAGATGGAACAGAATTCCAACCATTCTTTTAAATACCTCTTCAGAACTTGGGAAATTTGGATAAAATGGGACCTGGAATTGTATTGTCCCTTGGTTTTGTTACACCAAAATTGACTGAAAAGTTTTTGTAAATCCCAAACCAACCAGTGTTCCCCACTTCACAGGACTAAAGGAGAAACCCACTTTCCCTTTTTCATGCTGGAAAAATTATAAATGTATCCCCTGCTTATTAGTAATTTGCCCCAGACAGTTTTTCTAGGAGAGATCTGAAGACAGCAGCTGGCCCAGCAGAGAGCACCAGAACTATTTACTTGTGGGATAGAAGCAATGATTGAGATAATGTTGGAGGAGGGAGGACTTAAAGGAAAAAGGAGGAGAGTATTTTCTGAACTACTCCAAATCTTAATGTAGGCTTATTTTCATATTCTAGTGTTTAGGTTCATATTTGAGCTGGTTCTTATTTCCCTCTCCCCCCGAACCAATCTCTAATTTCTATCAACCAGGGACAAACAGATCTGCACATTAGCACACCGTGCAAATTGAACCTGATTCTATCTTAAGTTTCAGATTGGTTTGGCTAAACCTCCCCATAAAAAGGGCGATACTTATGGTCAATGTAGGGACATGGGCATTAGTCTCAATGGGACTTACATATGGGCACTGTGGGAGCATGTGCAGAGCTCTCAGCAGCTAATAAATGTGCCGTGTGGAGAGACTATATGTTTGTGCTAACATGAGATGGATTATTTGAGGAGACCAGACATTGACACTTATGATAGGTGTGCATGGGCAGCTCGGGGAAAATAAAGGTTAGTGCTAATGGGAGATATACATGGGCGTAGTCATTGGGCTATTTCCCTAGTGACATGAACTGAATGGAATACAAGCTGCTTAATGAGAAAGCACCATAACTGGAAATGAGGCTGGAATTCTGAATATCCACTGAATTAACCAAATTGTGACCATATTAGTCACAGACTGTCTAATGACTTCTACCAAATTGAATTCATAGGTCTTGATAGAACTGTATTTTAGATACAAACATAGGATGTTTCACTGAATCGCCTATTGGTTGTTTAGCACATCTCAGTTGCCTCTGTTATTTAAGATCTGAGAGTGCATTACAGCATGGCCACTGTACAAATCAATTTGCTGCCATACAACTTCATATAGGGTCTCTTGTACAATGTATCCTACAATGCTTCAGAGGGTTACGTGATACAATTACAAAGTTAAAAGAAGATATAATGGTAGAGAGAGTGAGAAATTAACTATTCAAGTCAATGGAACTACTTATGTGTCAAGTTAAGCACCTATATAACTATTTGCAGAATTAGGGCCTAATTTTAAAACAGTCAAATCATTGAGTGGAATATATTTTGGTAACAATTCAAACAGACTTTCCTTTGCTCACACCAGGGTGGATATATTTAAATCACTGATTTTAATAGTAATTTAAACTAACAAGCAGGAAACCTTGATTTAAATAATTGATTTTTAATCTTGTTTTGCATTTGTACTTTAGCTATTTCCCCTAAAGAAAGGTTCACTCTTATTGGCTGTTAACCATTAAAACATGTTGACTAGCAACCAAATATGGCCTTTGCACTAAATTTGGTGGTATTTTTTGCTAACCAGGACGATACACTGTGCGTATACACATTTATTTAAGCAATTGTAGCTTAACATATGTTTATTCAGAGCTTAAGTTTCACCAGAGATGAGTGAATAATAATTGGGTTTTTTTTGGTTTGGTGGCAGAATGAAAAGGTCCCCTCTCCCTTTATTCCACACCCGCCCCCACCCAAAAAAGGTTTGTTTCAAATCAAAACTGATTTTTTTTCCAATTGAAATGACCCCCCCACACACAATTTTTGTTTGGATTTAAAGAAAACTCTTTGTATGTTCAATTGAAACAACATTTTTGACATTTTTTGTTTAGAAAATGTCATTTTCATTTGACTTTCCATTCCAATGTCATTTTGAAATGACATTTTTCAAAATGGTTTGTTTAGTGTTTCTAAATGAACTATTTGAAATTTTTGCTTTTTTCCGACAAAGCTGTTCACCAAATTTGAGCCAAATTCATGAATTGTTTCAGTGCTATGAAAAATTCATTTTGATGCATTTTTTTATCACTGAAAATATTTCACTTAGCTCTAATTTTTACACTTATATTTTTGTTAGTTAAATAAAACTAACTTGAATACATAAAGGAATAAAATAAGTTAATCAAAACATACCTTGCATTTAAAAGTAACTGATTTAATAACCAAAGTAAGTAACTCTAGTTAGTGAATTGATGGATTGTTTCTGGTCACCATGGGCCAGAGTTTCAGAGGTATTTGGACACATAAAGCTACAGCTATCAGCCTGGTGGGGATTTCAAAAGCGCTTGAGTCAGCCAGGTGCCTAACCCCACACTAGCTTAGAAGGGATTCATGAGGCTGAGAAGTGGCTACAACTGAGGGGAATTAGGTGGCTTAAGTAATCTCCTAAATGATGATGGAGCCCAGGAGCACCAGAAGCTCCCTAGAAATGGGGGGAATAATGGCATTCAAACTATGGCCCTATCCTCACACTGCCTCTTCCCCTGAAGCCCTACCCCTGCTCGCTCCTCTCCACCCTCTTCCCCCCATTCCATGTCACTCGCCCTTAAGGCAGGTAAAAAGAGGGCGGGTATAGGCCCTCCCGCTTTTAAAAGTGATGGGGCCATGTCCCCTGGCCCTCCCTGTTCCATCACTCCTGATGGAGCCAGGCAGGGCTTGTATTGAGCCAGGAAGCTGGCAGCAGAAAGGGGGCTGCAGTGATGGAGCCTGTAGCCACTCTCTTGATGTAAGATAGGGAAGGAAGGAAACCTTGGAGAGAGGAGTAGGAAAAGACTCAGGGAAAGGGCAGCAAGGTTTAAGACTGTGTAGATCTTGGCTGCTGATTAAAGCATCCCTGACCTGGAACCATGAGTAGAGAGCGGGCCTGGGTTCCCCTGCCAGCCAGTGGGGAAGTGGCACAGCCTAGGCAGTGAGTGAGAAGACTGCTGGAGACAGTGTGTACAGAGGGACATTGATACCCTGGAAGGGGGAAAAGACAGTGTGTACAGAGGGACATTGATACCCTGGCCGAAGGGCCAAGCCACGAAGGGACAGCACCTGGAGTTGCAGAAAATGGGGGGGAAAGGCAGGAGGGTGTGCAGAGAGCAGCAGAAGGGGGTGTCAGACCTGGAAAAAGCTAATCCTGAGAGCGACCAGGCGGAGGCAGCCTAGTGATGAAGGAACCCTGTGACACTCCCATTTACATTAATGGGAGTTAGGCACCTAACCTGCTTACGAATGGAGAAACTATTCTTTCTGGGCCTGCTAGCAAACCTGACACCCAAAGTGCTTAAGACAAAAGCTTTTGTGCACAACAGCAATTGCCAATACAGTACTGACATTTGTGGGGGAAAAAATCAGTATTTGGTCCATTGTAAAGACTGAAAATAATATACTTACTTAATGCGCTACATGACCTTGTGACATGTTAATAAAGCTTGAGTTGACCTCAAAAGTTAAAGACTTTTCTGTAAATAACTAGTTCTGTATATAACTGATTCTGTTTTTAACTAATGAAGACATACCCTTTAATTCTCTAAAATTTGATACAGGATATTTATTTAAATTATTATGGTAAATTTAGGCCTTAATATAGATTATCTTAATTTCACATTTAATTTTAAATAGGTTTATTTTTAAAAAATGTATTTAATTTAAATAAAATTTCCAATGTAAGTGAAAAAAATCTGATTAAAAAAGTTCTGATTTTTATCATCCTGGCTCACAGAACCTACTGCATAAAACTAAAACTGATAGACAAAAATGCATTCTAGAAAGTTGTTATACTCTATTTGATCAATGACCCTTGAACTAAAAAAAATACTATAAACAGACTTTCACACAATCAGCTCTAAAAAAGCCATTATGGACAATCCAGTAAATAATAAACTTCATGAAAAGATTGTAATTACAGTTTAGTGAGTAAATAATACTTTCTTCATAAGGTCTGTAATTATGTATTTATCTGACCTGTAATTAAGGAGTTTTTTTAAATGTGTATCATACATTAGGTAACCTATAAATAAAACACACACACACACACACATACACAAAAGCACAATGAAATGCAGATACAAAACTTATGTCTATGTAGGATTAAATGTTAGACTTAAAGTACTCAAGGAAGAGTAGAATGGAGAGTTAGAGTTAAAAACTGGGCTGACTGTATCGCTAATTCACACAGCATTCTCTCTGGGAGGTATTTGCAGCAAATGTGATGGAAATCATGAAAGAGTATGAGATGCTGGATTCAACTCTATGCAATAACTAGACACAATGCTATGAATTCCAGCCTGAATTGTGACTTTGAAATGCCAGGTTTCATGCTTAATGTTAGATCCTCAATGGAAAGGAACTTTTTATAGCAACTTTTTGTTTTGTTTTTTCCACAGAACAAATTCCTGATGATGTGATACTAAGGTCTGCCTGAGGCTGCGCTATACATGGGACCCAAACAAGATGCTGATGGCTCTAATCCCTCCTTTTGCTCCCCTCATCCCCAACATGGAGCTGGGCTGGTTAATATCCCAGAGTGTGTTAGAGCTTCCTAATTTATGGCTGCCTGCAGTGGTATCTAAGCGCCTGGTTTAGAAGCCTGGGATCAGTGGAGTGCAGTGTACTCGAGACACATCGTTTCCCTCCCCCCCACGCCCACCTTGGCATGCCCCTTATGCTGGGAGTTCTTAGAGGTGAGGGTGAAGAAATGCCTATGCCAGCTCTAAATCATCAGGTATGGGAATCCCAGTTGGCCACTTAGGCAAGCAATACGGCTCCCTTGTGCCACATGAGCATCACAAAGCAACCATGTCAGGATCTGACCCGACAAGTCTATATAAGCAGTGTCTAAATGAGCTCTTCTGTGGCATCTAGTGCTGAACTGGTGAAGAAGGCCACAGGAGCAGACAGTGTTTGCACACACACACACACACACACACACACACACACACCTCTCCTTTGCCTAGGTGATCCCCATCCTCGAAACTCTGTAGTGGCAGCAGTGCCTTTCTGCAGAGGCTACTCTACCTTAATTGTTGGAGTAGCCTTTGCCGTCTGATGGTGAGGTTCTTTGCTGCATCTGCCCAGTAGTTGGGAGGTGTAATTCCCAGTGCAGATAGGCATACACTTGCTAGCTGAGCACGTAAAAATAGAAGTATGGCCACGGCAGCATAGGTACCTACGCAGCAGGATTGTACACGGGTGGCTAGCCTGAGCCTCCGCCTTGCTGCCGTGGCCACACTGCTGTTTTTACCACACTAGCTTGAGCAGAGTTAGCACGCATATGTCCACCTTCACTAGGAATTACAATCCCAGCTACTGTGTAGACGCACCCTAATGGGCGCAGCACAGAACCCCACTCAGGGAGGTGTGCTAAAGTGGCTTTAACTCACCTATGCACCCTCCAGATCCTGGAATATGGCCGGGGTTCAGGAGGCCCCCAGCATAACTAAGAAAGCCTTGGGGGCCTATTTAAGTTACAGTGATCTGCTGGAGTTGTCCCGGGAGCTGTCTGGAATCTCTGCATGGTGTGGTTCTGCTTCTGGACACCTCTCATGCCTGGGGCATGCCCTCTGAGCCAGGGCTTGTGAGGGGGTCCTTGAAAAGCAGCCATATAGCTGTTGTCAGCAGTGCCTGTCCTGGAGGAAATTCTTCTCTGTCTAGATACACAGCTTTTAGAGCCACTTTGTGGCACTTCAAGTGGCAAAGTGGGTGTAGCTGGGATGACCACCTCACCCCTAGACTGCCTCCCCATTTCCACTCCTCTTTGAACTACGCTGCCCTGTCCAGGCTGGCTCAGCAAAACTGTACCAGTTCCACTCCAAGAAAGTCCATGGAGGAGGGAGGATTTGCTTCAACAGAAGTGCTATTTCTTCCATGATAATGAACTGGAATAACTTGGGATTTTCATTCTACTTCACTGTAAAAGGAGTTCCCTTAGAAGCCAGTCCAGCTGTTGGTACTGATCTGAACAGAATCGCATGACTGTGACTTCAGAAGAAATGCAAATGGGCAGTTTCAGCGCTACGAGATTGGGAATGCATTTAGCCGTCATGACAGATCAACATTCATGAGGCTGGGCTGTCACCATGTGAGGCAGTATAATAGAATGTGGCATCACTCCTCAGAGTTTCTGTTTTCTTCCCCTGCTACATGACATTTTATCTATTAAATAGGGTTAAGGGCCCTCTTGTCACAAGGATTAATACAGAAAATCTACATCAAAGAGGCCTTTGCCCTTTTATTTCTTGGAAAGTTTCTCTCAGTGTGGTTTAGAAGTGAAGCAGAAGAGAGCGGTGTAAAGAAACAGAGAGGCCTACGAAGGGGCAGAGCTTCAGTAACCATGTTCCATGATGGAAAATAGACAAGGTAGATTATTCAGCTCTCACATGAATTTGGCAGCACTTGTCTCCCCTGCTGATCTAACAGAGAGAGTTCAGGCCCTGGGCCTGGATCAGCTATCTAGTGGTAGAGGCTACTGTCACTACAGGCCACAAGTTGGGTACCCCTATAATGTTCTTGAATGTTTTCTTTTTCCCTTGAGCATCTCAGCAGCCAAATGATTCCATTTACATTAATGCCCCCCCCCTCTCCTCTCTCTCTCTCTCTCTTTTCAGGCTTCCCAGACTGAGCTTCATCCCCAGGAGGGTTACCCCACAAGCTCCTGTAGCCTTAATCAACATAAACCTTCAGCCCAGCAGCCAGGTGCCACAGTACGGTTCGTTTACAAGGTAAGTACATACGAGAAGTGACAAGTCCAGAATTAGTAATGCAATTCTTCTGTCATTTTTATCATTGGACCCTGCAGGGAGGATCTGATTAAATGGATGTTCAAACTCTTTGCATTAATGTGCACCCAATTTTAATTTGCATTTCATTAACAGCACAAAAAGCTTAATTTTATTATTTGCTGTTGGAAAGCAGATCTCTGCTAACAAGCAGCTACACACAGTTGCTAAAATATGATATGAGTGACTTTATCTGGTATCTCTCTCCTTTTCTTTCTTTTCCCTTTCTCCCCCAGTATTTAACTTCAGTTTCTGTTCTGCTTGTCATAAAGTGCAACATCTAAGTCATCTCCCAAACTAATTTACTTCACATATTGTTTTGTCTTCTAGAGCCTTCATGCAAGACTAATGGACCCTGAGCCTAAGTGATCTCTAAATGCCCCATGTAGTTTCAGTTAAACACAAAGTAGATCATGTTTAGAAGTAAAAGGTCCATACTGGGTGTAGCTGTTTCTGGGGGATGGAGCACTGATTATGATTCAGAAGACCCGAATTCCTATTCTTTCCCAACCTTTGTTTGTCTTGTCCATTTACACTGTGAGCTCTTTGAGACAGGGACGGTCTCTGACAATATGTTTGCGCTGCACATGGCACAATGGGGCTTTGATCTTGGTTGGGGCCTCTAGTTGCTTCAGTAACACAAAAATAAATAGTATTTCAGGAGTTCAGCCAAAGCTAATAAATTAATCCACAAAACAAATTCTATTATGAGATTTAGAATTATATGTTTAATCACCCCCAAATAAGGAAATGACAGTGCAAGTACCCATTACAAGACACATCTTATATACATGATCTCATTTCTCAAACAGTGCAATATAATACAATATTGTTTTGTTTATTTTCTGGTCTTAGATACACACTGGGAGCATTCTGTTTTCTCTTTCTTATATGCTTATACGATTGTCATTATTATAATGGTCCAGGGTCTGAGAATTTTATTATCCCTGTGCAACTGGAGTAAGTATTTTAATAATTTATGGCATTTAACCACTGGCTAAATGAGTTGCATAAGAGTGCTGATAAAAGACTGCTCTTAATTTCCTGGTCCCAGTCATGTGACTAGGGCTAGGGTTATCAAAGGCTAACCCATGTCACATGGCAGGGATTGCTATTTACTGACTTTGGTGGATACTCCTACAGGTTAAAATCATTGAAATGGAAATTGGGTTTACCTGTCAAACTTTATGTGCCCAGCACTTGGTGCATTGTAGTTTCCATATAAACAGATGGGAGCCATGTATTGTTGAAAACTCTGAGTCCAGCCAGAATGCCCACTGGAACAGCAGATGTAGCGGAGCAATATTTAGTCCAAACGCCAGAAAGGTACACTGATGGGGGGTGGGGTGGGATGGGGGTGAGTCTGTGCGTCAAGCTTGTAGTTTTATTTTATGTTCATCTTAAGACTTAAATAAAAGGTTTTCTTGCAGTACACATAGAGGGAACCTTAAACTGGAAACCCCATGGAGTGAAATGTCTTACAACATAAAGAAAGGACTCCAGCGTTTCAAAGTCCTTGAATTATTTAAAATGCAGAAGACAAAAAGTGGGGATTAAGAAGATCTGATATACTCTCCAGACTGCAATATCAATTATACATACTTAAACTCTTCAAACCTTGTTTGTAAGATTAAGAATTTACCATCGAACTAAAACATTAATTACAAGGTTTTCCCATTAAGACTCATAGGTCTTTTTAGTTTTATTATTACTTGATCTTTTCTCATTCTACTGAAATCCTAACGTCTTGAAAGCATTCTCCCATCACTGCTGAAGTGATTTTGGTAGTAATATCCCCTTTACTGGCACCAAAAAGCTTATATTAGGGAGGTCTATAGGGAAGATCTTCTCTATAACAAAAAAACAAACAAACAAACAAACAAAAAAACCCCAATAGATATAAAGTATTCATTTTCATAACATATTATCTAAAGTAAGCATGTTGGCTTACAGAGGGAGATTAGATAAGGAACAGTGTGGTGGATGTTTTTAAATCATGTACAGTAATCTATTGTACTTATTTTTAAAAATGTAGTGAGTGCAATATGAGCTATGTATGTATCTAAATGGCCTAATTCTTCACTGCCCTGAACCTTGCTTTGTCATTTATACATGAGCAAAGTGGGTGCACAATGATGACAAATTACTGCCCTTCATATTCCAGCAGCAGCAATGAGATTGGGCCCCCATTGTGCTAGGTGCTATACAAACAGATAGTGATATACAGTCCCTGCCCTGACTTGGTCATCTAAATAGTTTTACTTTGTGTAAATAGTTTTACTTTGTGTAATGACCCATCCACTCCCAGTCTCTATTCAAGCCTAAGTTAATTGTATCCAGTTTGCAAATTAATTCCAATTCAGCAGTCTCTCGTTGGAGTCTGTTTTTGAAGTTTTTTTGTTGAAGAATTGTCACTTTTAGGTCTCTAATCGAGTGACCAGAGAGATTGAAGTGTTCTCCGACTGGTTTTTGAATGTTATCATTCTTGACGTCTGATTTGTGTCCATTTATTCTTTTACGTAGAGACTGTCCAGTTTGGCCAATGTACATGGCAGAGGGGCATTGCTGGCACATGATGGCATATATCACATTGGTGGATGTGCAGGTGAACGAGCCTCGGATAGTGTGGCTGATGTGATTAGGCCCTATGATGGTGTCCCTTTAATAGATATGTGGACACAGTTGGCAACGGGCTTTGTCGCAAGGATAGGTTCCTGGGTTAGTGGTTCTGTTGTGTGGTGTGTGGTTGCTGGTGAGTATTTGCTTCAGACTGGGGAGTTGTCTGTAAGCAAGGACTGGCCTGTCTCCCAAGGTCTGTGAGAATGATGGGTCGTCCTTCAGGATAGGTTGTAGATCCTTGATGATGCATTGGAGAGGTTTTAGTTGGGGGCTGAAGGTGATGGCTAGTGGCGTTCTGTTATTTTCTTTGTTGGGCC